ATGGTCAAAGCTCTAGAGGAAGTCAACCATCTGAAGCTGGAAACTCTGAAGCTCAAGACTCTGAACAAGTTCAGAGACCACAGAGAATCAGAAGCGTTCCTAGAAGATTTGCAGAATTTGACATGCTGCAAGACACTGAAGTAGACTCTGAAGGAGAAGTTATTTAGTGTGCCATGTTAGTAGACTCTGAACCTATAAGTACAGAGGAGGCTCTTAAGCAGAAGCTCTGGATGAAGGCCATGAAAGAAGAACTTGATGCTATAGAGAGAAACAAGACTTGGAAGCTGACAGAACTTCCAAAAGACAAGAAAGCCATCAACGTCAGATGGGTTTTCAAGCAGAAGTTAAAGCCAGATGGCTCAATTGACAAACATAAAGCAAGGTTGGTAGCCAGAGAATTTCTACAAAAACCTGAGATGGATTACTCTGAAGTGTTTGCACCTGTAGCAAGACATGAAACAATCAGAATGGTGATTGCAATAGCTGCTAACAGGAATTGGCCTCTGATGCATTTAGATGTAAAATCTGCATTTCTGAACGGTCCATTAGAAGAAGAAGTTTACGTGTCACAACCTCCTGGATTTGTGAAAAAGAATCAGGAAGGGATGGTGTACAGATTATACAAAGCTCTATATGGATTGAAACAAGCGCGCAGAGCTTGGAATCAGAAGATTGATTCATTTTTCAAGAAGCAAGGCTTTCAGAAATGTGAGATGGAGTACGGTGTCTATGTTCAGCATACTTCTGAAGGCAATATGACTCTGGTATGTTTATATGTTGATGATATACTGCTGACTGGAAGTTCTGAACAGGAGGTAGCCAAGTTCAAGAAGGTTCTAATGAATGAATTTGAAATGACTGATCTAGACAAAATGACATACTTTCTAGGGATGGAGTTCAGATATTCTGAGAAAGGTATCATTTTGCATCAGCTCAAGTATGAATTAGAACTTCTGAAGAGATTTGATCTGAAGAATTGTAAGATGGCTGTCACACCTTCTGATACAAATCAGAAACTGGATTCAGACTCTGAAGGAAAGGATGTGGACGCTACAACCTTCAAACAGTTGGTTGGTTCTCTGAGGTATCTGTGCAATACCAGACCTGATATCTGCTACTCAGTTGGGATGGTTAGTAGGTTCATGAGTAAACCTAAGTGGTCCCATTACCAAGATGCTGTCAGAATTCTGAGGTATATCAAAGGAACTCTGAAGTATGGAGTGTTATTTCCCTCTGGAGGAAATAATGAGTCAGAACTTCTGAGTTATTCAGACTCTGATTGGTGTGGAGACAGAGTTGACAGAAGAAGTACATCTGGGTACTTGTTCAAATTTCTGGGAGGTTCCATTTCTTGGTGTTCCAAGAAGCAACCTGTTGTGGCGTTGTCAACCTGTGAAGCTGAATACATTGCAGGTGCTGTTATTGCATGCCAAGCTGTGTGGATTCTGAATCTGTTGCAGGATCTGAAGATTAAAGTAGACAAACCTCTGAAGTTGATGATTGACAACAAGTCTGCAATCAATCTTGCCAGAAACCCAGTGTTGCATGGGAGAAGCAAGCATATTGAGACCAAGTATCATTTTCTGAGACATCAAGTTCAGAGTGGAGTGTTAGAAGTTATATACTGCAGCACTCAGAAGCAGTTGGCAGATGTTCTGACGAAAGCTGTCAAGACTGATCAATTTCTCAGACTAAGGGATGGAATTGGTGTTACAAGTTTTGATGGAATATGAATTAAGGGATGGTATTAGAATATTAATAGTAATTCATATTTATTTAGTTGTACTATTTTCTTAGCCCCTAAGTTTGTTAGAGGGTATTTTAGTATTTTATCTTATTCTAGTAACCCTAGTTTTAGCTTATAAATAGGGTGACAATCATTGTAACTTTTATCATGTTTTTGTAGCCGTCATTCTTAATAGAATATTTCCTTTGTTCATCATTTATTCACCTTTGCACCAACAGAAATATATTATTCCTACATTATTACCAAAGTGATTGTGTCAGAAAATAATGGATAATTGCATAATAACATCGTTCTTTAATTTGCAACCGTTGTCACATTAAACAACGTTCCTACAAGTGTCACATGTATATTTAATTAATTATTTAATTGAAAATAATTGTAAAAAAAATTAATATAAGATATTTGTGGTATTTAGTAGGACCCATTTTACAAAGTTTATGAGTTGTATGGATATTTGAAAAATGTAGTTGAATTGTTTAAATAATTTAAAAGTGTAATATAATGTAAAAAAATAAGTGAGACCTATTTAAAGAACACAAATAGGTATGATGGATGTGAATGCTCTAAGAGACTATTTCACTAGGTCATTTTTTTTCTATTAATTTTAGTCACGTTAAATAAATTATAATTTTTATTCTTTAGATTTTTTTTACTAATCTTTGTCGTTGTTTTTTACAAATTTTTACATGGCATTCGTTAAGTGTTTTTTTTTTATGATATATTATTGATGAAACTTTAAAGAATTAATTGATATGTATTGATAGTGTAAAATTATTTTACACCTTCAATCAATCCTTTTTACGTATTCCGTTACATCAGATTTTAAATCTTAAATTAATTGTATTATATGACTAATTAATATATTTCTATTAGATAATAGTGTAATATTATTCGGTGCATATCAATTAAACTCAATTTTAAAATATCTTTAGTTTAATAATTTAATGTTTTGTTTTTATTATTTTATCTGTAACTTTGAATTTAAGATTACATTGTTAACTAAATAGTAAATATTTTAATTTTTAAGTTAATGATACTTAAGGTCTACGAAGATACGTTATTCAGAAAAGTCACTTGCAATATGTGACATAGATTTGTAAAGAAAAATAAAGACTAAAATTGATAATAGAAAACTAAGGGGTCAAAGTTAAAAGAAAGTTGTTTATATGATCTTAAAAATCTCATATATTAAAAGAATTAAAAATATATTTAACATTTGATGATATTTGATTGACATTAGAGTCTAATATAAATCTAATCGTTCTAGGAGGTAGAATGATTACTCAAACACTTTTATAAATAGAAGTCTTCTTATGAATATGTTTCTACTATTTGATGTGAAATGTGTATCTTATAGAATGCAAGAATAAAAATATTTCTAAAATATCTTTATATAGATGTTTAGGATGCTATTAAGTATGATCCATTTATTCTCACTTGTTCAAAAATAATGAAGTTGGTGAATAAAATGCAGTTTTTTACTGTTCTATTTCATTGTTGAAATTTATATATTAAAATATTTTATTTTAAAAATAAATGTCTCAAATGCTTTAATATAAGTACGTATTTGTCTACTGAGTTCACGAGTAGATGGAGGTCATGCAAGCGTGAAGGTGCTCGTCCACTGAAATGACGAGCATCTGAATATTTTAATATTTTTTTGGTTTTTCAAATTTTAGTATTGTTTAATTAATTATAAATGTAATTTTAATTAATAAAAATATATTTTATTAATTAAATAATATTTTAAGATATTTTTTTTAATTTTACAAAATAATTTTTTTTTAATTTTTTAAAATTGATTGATACTGGACCAATGAATGATCAAGTTTAAAAGTAATATTTTTTTATAAATAGATTGATGTGTATCAACACAAATCATTCAAGCTAGGTATTTGTATTTTTAAAAATGTATGTTCGAGCTCTTGTGTTCTATGGGCAAGAAAAGAAAATCAGTGTTTACCTAAATTCGCAGTGAAATTTCATAATCGTGGTTGCAGCAATTAACATGGATTTTTGACAGTTGGGTGGTCGTCGTATAAGGTGAGAAAAATGGAGTATCGTTGTCCGTATATAACGCTGACTGATGCAAGCCCGGAAGGTACATACTTGTATTATTTGGATCGTATAGAAAATGATGATGTCCAATGTATGTTTTCAGCACATAGTGGTGAAGTTAACAAAGGAGTCGAAGATCGACTTGTGTTGGTTGTTGTTGTTGATTAGCTTATATGTTAGCTTCTTGAGTTTTAATTTTATTTAGTAAACATAAATTATGGCATGATGATGTTCAACCATCCATTGGACGAGTAGTGAAATATTTAATTATTTTTCTTATTTCTATAAATAGCATTGTGCGTAACCTCTTAATCTTAGATCTAGTACACGAATTCTTCATTTTTAATCTGAAATATGGATCTGGTCATGTAGTATTTTACCAATCCAAACACTCCTCTCACCAAAAGAGATGCTCTACTGGTTTTTTCACCAATAAAACCCTCCACTAAAGATCCGACTATAGAATACAGTCACGTTCGAGCATCTTTAGAGAAGTCTGGTGAGGTGGTTAGAAGGTGAAATAGCTGAAGGTGAAAAGATTAGAAAAATCGAAAGGCTTGTTAAAAAGAGATATGACATGGTTTGGGAAGCTGTAAAAAACAATTATGATTGTGTCATGATGATGTATGGACAACTTGATATTAAGTTGATGGTTGTAATCTCATAGTATTGTTGATTTTTCGAATGATCTAAATGTTCATTATCTTGTTGTTTTATGAGCAAAGTTTTTGTTTCGTAGTTGTTAGTTAAAGCTGTATTGAATTATAAATTAATGTTGGGTCACAGAGAAATCAAATGCAAGCTAAAATTTTTACTAACTGATTAACTTGAAAAACAAATAAAATTATCTAGACGAGTCGGTTTGACAGGCCGACAATATTTGGACATTTTCTACGCATATGGCCTGTTTCTCTGCAAATCTCACACCTTCTCTTTTTCTTTTCAATGTTTTCTATTTCGGTTCTAATCCTACTACTGGTTGGACGTCCCTTCTTATTTCTTCTCATGGAATCATGTGGCAAAGAGTAAATCCTTCATATTTTGGCAAGTTTTCCTCATGGGGTAGTCCTAGGAAGCTTTCCTTGTAGACTTTAAATATATTAAGAATTGTGAAGACTTATGGAATGTGAATGGAACAGTCCTGACGTATGCTAGAACATGCTGCAATAACGTGGGAGCAAGGTAAGTGAAATGCTTAAAATATCCCACAGTCACACCAGTGATTCCTCAGGTCAACGATGAAAGAACCTGTCGGACGACCATCATTCTGATTAATTTTTTCCTGCACCATGAAATAGAATCTTTCGCAATCAAATTGCATGACATCATGTGCGTTATCCTTGGCTACTTCATCAGTCATTCCCTTGTTGCAACCATCCGTGAAAACTCTGCAGGAAGCCAGTATTTTGGTCAATTGGTGGCCTCTTTTACCAAAGAGGGAACCCATGCGATAGTATGTAGATTGGAGCAATGCAGTGATTGGAAGGTTTCGTGTTGCCTTCAGTACAGAGTTCATGGCTTCTGCCAAGTTAGTTGTCATATGTCCCCAACGTTGCCCTCCGTCATATGCTCTAGACCACTTCTTCATAGGTATGTTGTCTATCCAGCATGAGGCCTCAATGTCTGTCCTTCGAATTTTACCGCGATAGTAGTTAAATGTAGCCTCCATCAATGCATAACCTGTAATAGATATGGTATGTTAAACATAACAAAAGAATGGAAAATAGTTCAGGTAACTGAAATGTATTTTATTACCCATGTTAATAAGTTTTTTGCGTAGTTCCTTGTCCTTAATCTCGCGCATGAGGTTTTGCGCAATGTGTCTAATGCAGTAGACATGTGAAGATGGTGGATGTTGCCATCCGTTTTTGGGATTGTTATATGCACTATTTATCAATTCATGTCTATTTGAGATTAGACACAAATTAGTCTATGGTGTCACGTGTAACCTCAGGTTCCTTAGAATAAAGCTTCAAGTTTCCTTTGTTTCACCTTTGACCAATGCGAAAGCTATTGGGAAAATATTTGTGTTCCCATCCTGTGCCACCTCCATCAACAAAGTTCCTCTATACTTTCCATACAATCACGTTCCATCAACTTGCACAATGGGCTTATAGTAGGCGAAGCCACATATACACGGTCGAAATGCCCAAAAGAGACGATGGGAGATTCATTTGCCAGATATTTGGGAACCATCGTTTGAAATTGCATGTAGGGTTTGCCATATATTTATGTAATCTATACACATACGTCGTCCTCCTTCTATCCGTTTTGCTACATGTTCCCCTTTCTCGTTTTGCACGACTGTGATGCCTCCCTTTTTAGGTACTACATGCACATGGCTCACCCACTTACTATCTGAGATTTGATAAATTATACCTGCTTCCAGTAACTTAAGAACTTCCCTTTTTACAACATCATTCATTATGAGGTTTATCCTTCACTGATGTTCTCTATAGGGTTTTGAGTCTTCCTCAAGTAAAATCCGGTGCATACACACGGATGGACTTATACCTTTTAGATCAGAGATATTTTATCCTAAGGATGAGGGATATTTCTGCAAGACATATAAGAGCTGGTCTATTTCTTCTTGGTTTAAGGTAGCACTGACTATAACTGGACGGTCCATTTCCTCATCCAAGAACTCATACCTTAGATTCTTGGGTAGTTCTTTAAGTTCTAAAGTTGGTTTCTTGGGGCACGGTATTGGATCGGGGGTAAGGGATAAACATTCGTGAAGATTATCATCAAAGTAGGGTTCCATAAATCCATCATCTTCCTTTGTGAGGGTTGAAGGTAGTGTGATTGTTTCTTCCTGATCTAGTTCGCTAACACGTTCATCAATGATGTCTATGGTGTAACATGCATCTCTTAATAATGGTGCCATAAGAAATTTCGACAAAATGAATTCTATCTTTTCATCACCTACCTCAAAAGTCAACTTTCCTCTCTTGACATCTATTACGGCTCCTGCGGTTGATAAGAATGGCTTACATAGGAGGATTGAGATGTCATCATCTTCTTTACTATCCATGACAACGAAATCAGTAGGGATGAATAACTGACCGATCCTAACTAGGACGTCTTCCAATATGCCAACCGGATACTTGACGGATCTATCGGCTAACTGAAGAGACATCTTAGTAGGTTGCAGTTCTCCTAGTTTTAACCTTTCAAAAACGTCCAGAGGCATTAGGCTCACACTAGCTCCTAAGTCCAAGAAAGCTTTATTGATGACATGACTCCCCAAAATACAAGGTATGGAGAAATTTCCAGGATCTTGCTCCTTTTTGGCAAGTTTATTTTTGGAAATGGAATTGCATTCCAAAGGTTTTGGATCTTCAAGTCTATGTTTATTGGTAAGGATGTCTTTTAGGAACTTTGCATAGGATGGTATTTGGGTGATGGCTTCTGTGAAAGGGATCTCCACATGAAGTTTCTCTATGACTTTAATGAATTTCTGATATTGATTATTGATCTTGGTTTGTTTTAGTCTTTGTGGATAGGGTATAGGAGGTTTGTATGGCGGGGGTGGTTCATTAGTTTTTTCTATAGTTTCTCCCTTATCTTGGTTTTTCTATTTTTCAAATTCTACTGGTTCCTCTACTTCGTCTGTGGGTACAATTCTTTTCTTAGCAGTTTTGGGTTCGCTCAATGTCGGGTTAACCGGTTCATCGTAAGCGGTCCCACTTTGTAAAGTAATTGCATTGGCTTGCCCTCGGGGGTTTTGTTGAGGTTGTCCAGGAAATTATCCTCCGGATGTGGTTTCAAGAGCTTGTTTGAGAGCTACCTGAGAGATATGGGTTTCAAGAATCTTATTATGGGTGACTATTTGGTCTACCTTGGTTCCTAACTGGGTAATCATTTCGTTTACATGAATGTTCTGGTTTAGAAATTCTTTGTTTTGCTGGGTTTGAGCCGAAATGAAAATTTCCATGATCTTCTCAAGGTTCGGCTTGGGCGGCACAGGTTGCATAGGTGGGTTTTGTCTCTGGGCTTGAAAACCGGGTGGTCTCGGAGGTGCAGGGTTTTGGATAGGGTTATTATTTTTGTAGGAAAAGTTTGGATGATTCCTCCATCCAAGGTTATAGGTGTTTGTAAATGGGTTCCATTGGGCATAGTTGACCTGGTCTGAATGAGTTGCATTCAATAGATTGCATTCCGCTGATTGGTGTCCTTTGGTTCCACATAATTCGCATTCCATTGAGACTGTTGCTGCAGTAGCTGGGTTTTCGTACATATGTTTGACCTTAAGGGCCAAAGTGTCCATTTTGGCTTGCATCATGTCTATAGAAATCATCTCATGTACTCCTCCTTGGGCTTCTTTCTTCTCCACCGTTGCTCGTTTTGTCCCCCATTGATAATGGTTTTGAGCCATATCCTCGATGAGAGCGCAAGCTTCAGGGTAAGATTTATTCATCAGAGCGCCACCAGCGGCAGCGCCGATGGTCATCTTAGTGTTATAATAAAGTCCATTATAGAAGGTATGAATGATTAGCCATGATTCCAGGCCATGGTGTGGACATATTCTCAATAGGTCTTTATATCTCTCCCAAGCCTCAAAGAGTGATTCACCTTGATTTTGAGTGAATCTGGTTATCTGATTTTGAATAACAGATGTTTTACTTGGGGGAAAATATCTAGCAAGGAAAACTCTCCTTAGGTCTTCTCAAGTTGTTATAGAATTGGCTGGAAGGGAATCTAACCATGTAAGGGCTTTGCCTCTAAGGGAGAAAGGAAATAGTCTTAGAAAAATCGCCTCAGGAGTAGCACCATTGGTTTTAAAAGTGTTAGCTAATTGGATGAAGATTTTTAGATGTTGATTTGGGTTCTCAGAAGGGAGACCCACAAATTGGTTTTGCTGTACTAATTGTAATATGGAGGGTTTTAGTTCGAAATTGTGAGTAGGAATATTAGGGTTTACAATACTAAACTGGGTTTGTCATCGGATGGTTGAGTGAAATCCTTAAGGGGTCTTTGGTTACGGTCTTCGGCCATAGTTTCCTTAATTCTATGAAGTAAGAGACGTGCGTGAGCGTAACGTTCAGGTTCCTCTAAAGGATCTATAAGACTATCGGTGCTGCGAGTTCTTTGCATTGACCAGTAGGTAAAACCTTAGTCTAGACGGTGTAACAACATGGTACGAAATTTTAACGTAATTGGTCTCCGGCAATGCCACCAAAAACTTGATGCGGTATTTTCGCAAGTATACGAATCGCTTCAGAGTAATATAAAAGATTATCGATCCCACAGAGACCAAACGTCAATCTATCGATTTCTATTGCTACGATGTTTATCTAAGGCAAATCAATCGGGAGTTCGTGAGTGCAATGTAAAAGTAAAGTACGAAGATATAAAATTCAATTTAAAACAACGGGCTTGAATATAATTCACACAGCCGGTTAGTATTCCAAATGCTTGTAAATAGAACTTCTAATGGGGTAATATCTTCTACTTATGAAAAGAACTAATTTAAAGGCAATTGTCGCTTTCGCATATTCAGAACCAAGTTTATCCCTTAATCGAATCCTCTTATTGTCACTTATAAAAATGCGCACATTGTGTTAAAGTAATAAACCTATTTTTAAGAAATATAGTTTCTTGACTCAGTTGAAAAGTATTTTGACTTGAAACTTTTTAACGAAAAGAGGTTCATGCGAACCGGACTTTAAACCCATAAATGCGTCCAAAAATAGTTTTAAAATCGTTTTTCTAAAGTATTAAAAACTCCTACTTAACTGGACAAAGCGCTTTCGCTTCCTTTGAACAGTTAAGACTAACCAAGTTTAACCAAAGGTTGGACGGCTTTCGATCTTACCTAACAGAAATGAAGTGCAGAAAACTTGTGTAAAAAATCAGAATAATCCCTAAGTATTTCTATTGACAGCTTGTATGGAATACTACTTTAACTATGATCCTTACATTCTAACCTTTAAAATTTAGCGGAACATGGAAAGGTAAATAGACATAGTAAATACTGCGAGAAAGTAAATGGTGCGGAAAAGTAAATATTGCGAGAAAGTAAATGGTGCGAAAAAGTAAATACTGCAAGAAAGTAAATGGAAACCTGCTCCAAACGAGAGGTTTTAAATCTGGTATAATTGGAAATAAATGACTGGAAAGAAAATAGCGGCAGAATTAAATTCTACCAGAGTGCTCCAAACTCGATTACAGACTCGATCGAACAATGTGATAACTCCCCGATGTGAGAAGTTTATCACTTTACAATACTGAAAATATATGGCTTGAGTTCTGTAACTAAGCTTGGATGCCTAAAAAGGATCAAGAACTCATCTATTTATAGCCTAGGAAAATCTATGGAAAGACCAAAGTGCCCCTCAACTTCTTTTGGGAGGGAGAACGAGATACAAAGGTGGCGCCCGCCATGTGAATCAATGGAGAAAGAAGTAGAGGTCGTAGCAGTTGACTCTTATCCAAGTCATGGCCTACCCTATGGTGCACGCCATGGTGGATATCATGTGTACAATTTCCTCAAAAACTGGTTTTTCTTGCCCGTTTTTCTTCATTTCCTCGCAAGGAGCTCTGGGAATACAAAATCCTAAAAACGAAAGCATAACACAAGAAAATAGCAATAAAATCCTAAGAAACATGTGCAATTCGAGTCAAATACATAGTATGATTCAGTGTTATCAATGGGTGAAGAACACCATGGAATACAAGCAAACGTTTAAGCTAGTGTAAGGTTTCCTAAAAACTCTACGTAATAATTTTTATAATTTTTGTGTTCATTATTATTTCCTTTTTTTTCCAGGGTAATGTAAGGTTTCAAGTGCATTCTAATAC